CATCTGAAGCTCCCGGCTTATGATTATTTATCTTCTCCTTTGCTAATAAATTATTAATCACAAACCTCACAAGACAAAACAAACCCGCCTCTAACATTTCCCAGAGCAGACACTTGTCCCAGAACTGGTGTCCGGGCTCCCCGCAGCTGGTCCCACCTTCCCTGAGCCCCAGTTAAGCCTCACTAGTGTTGGCCAGAAAAGGATGCTGGGTCCTTCCATTGACCACCAGGTCCTTCAGGATCAGCCCTGAAAAAATCCATCCCTGCCTTCTAATGTCCACCCCCTCTCCTGCCGGCCCTTGCTCCCTGGCTTCACCACAGCACCGGCCAGCAGCGGCTCCTCTGGCATCCCTGCCTGTGGGGTTGCTGCCTGCAGGACTCCTGCAAGGGTGTTTGTTTGCAAATGCCCTGGGGCTTTTCGAGCCTGGTCTTTGCCAGCAGGATGCTCACTCTGGGATAAAGGAGGTCAGGCACGAGTGATGGCACAGCTCTGGTTACATGAACCATGACCCGAAGGAAGTGGAGCAATAAAGATCGGTCCTTAACACAAGATAGGTTTTCCCATGTTGCATATGAAAAACACAGATGAATTTGTGGAAAAAGTTGAAGAACAGGAAGAAGAAAAAAATAAATCCACATAATGGAAAGTGTCCCAAGAGAAGGGAATAGCCTTAAAACTAACCGAAGTTTGACAGCTCCGGTTTCATTTCCAAAGCAGGTGGGAGGAAAACCAATGTATGCTCTGCCCAAAGGCAGGTATATTCATGGCGCAGTGGAAAAATTTGCAGCCAGAACGTGTTATCAGCTCGGTGCTGTCTTTCAAATATGCTTTGCCTGTTTTAAAAGTGAGCCTGCATCTCTGACAGCAGGAGGAGGACAATCTTCTCCCTTTAGAGTTCCCAAACTTTCCTCTCACCGCCCTGCTGCCATGGCTCCAGAGCTCCCACTGCACTCAGCCAGCAATCGCACCCTTAAATCCCACCAGCTCCAGAGCTCAAGCATTTGGTCTCAGGCTCGCTTGAGTGCGGATTATTTTAAGCAGGTGTTTAACACCACCGTTGAGTCCCTGAGCCAACGAGTGGGCTGCCATGTACCAACAGGCCCCTGCCTTCCCCACTCTGCTGCTTTCTCAGATGGGGGAGAAAGGAAAAATTAAATAGGACTCCTTCACTATGGGGAAGGAAAAAGTCAGGTTTCCCATGAAATGATGGGATGTATTCCCAGGTGGAAGGGCTGCATCCTCACAAGGCCATCGGCTTGAGCTGCTCCACCCTGTGGAACAGCTGGCGCTCAGGGACTGGGCTAAAACCCACACAGCGCCCGAGAACTGTCTGTGTCAGACACTTCCCCCTCCTCCTTCTTTCCCTCTCCTCCTTCCACAGCCAGGACAGCTCTCTTCCCCCTGCTTCGTAGTCTCTCCAACTCCCAGGGCTACAAAGAGGTGGGTCAGGTCCCCAGGCCCCTGCCTTGTGGCACAGCTCTTGGCAAGAGCCACCAGTAGAGAAACAGCAAACCCATCAGCAACCCCATCAGCCCCGGGACCGACCACTGCCCGCCACAGGCAGCCTCAGACCCTGCCCTTCTTCCCTCACGCCCCTGCGCTGTTTGCATCGCAGTGTCCTCCAGCCCTGTCACCTCACACAAAGAAGCTCTGGTTTCTCCTTTGTCCCACTTTTCCGGGTGCCTCGTCTTGCTGCGTGCTCCCCATCGGTGGCTGCTCACCCTCCTTTGCCAGGATGGCCCACTCAGCCCCCCACCAGTACCCCCCCAGCCCACCCTCGCTGGCCATGAGAAGCCTCCGCGTCGCCAGCAGGACCTCTCCTCTCTCCCTGACATCTTGACGTCCGCATCCCAGCATATTCCCAGCAAGCCATCTGGCTTGCCTAGCCTGGCAGCGTAGGCTGCTCTCCCTGACCGTATTTCCTGCTGCAGAGTGGCAAGCTTGGCTCCATTTTCTGTCTCCATCCATTTCCTTCAGTTTCCTTGGTCGGCAACACGCGGCCTCCCTCCAGCTCCTCGACAGCCCTCTAGTCTCACCTCTGCCACAGCAGCACAAGGACCCCATGAAGTGCCGTGTCCCCTTGGGGAGCACCAGCAGCCCCCCACCCAGCTCCCTGCCGAGCCTGGTTGCCTTCTCGAGCCTACTATCCTTCCCCTGACTCATTCTCCCGGCTCAGCTGCAGGGAGGAATTCAGCCTGCAGCTCA